TAAAATATTAGTAACTACATGAATTATTAGTGATATTTGTGCATTGCAAATGATATTTTTGAGGATGTAGCAGTGAAATGAAAAAACAACAACAACTGTTTGTTCTGAATAATTTGCTAATTCATTGAAAGGCGTGTATTCAAAATAATATTAGCAATTCAGCCGATGCTCACGAGGAAATGTACTGCAGCTATTTTGTGTATTGTTAAAAAGTGCCTTATTTGTAAGAATTCACATGAAAACAAATTATTCTAAACCTAAAGAAATCATACTAATATGTATGAATGTCATTTATTCATTCATTTTCTTTTCGGCTTAGTCCCTTTATTAATCAGGGGTTATCTCAGCGGAATGAACCGACAACATATCCAGCATATGTTTTACGCAGCAGATGCCATTCTGGCTGCAACCCTTGACTGGGAAACAATGTTCTGAAGTGACATTAAAGCCAAAAATTCTCAGGATCTGTGGGATGGAGTTTGTTCTTCCTCAAAAGTTGAGTCATCAATATAATGCAACTAAATATTAGTTTAGTAATTTGAACCTAAGTGTAAAACATGTCTATAAGTTATAATTAATTTGCAATTTAGTATAAGTTTGTCATTTAAATGTACTAAGTGCACTAAGAAATACAGTCATAAATTTATATATATTCACACCTCGGTTTTTTAACATGTTTTTTTTGTTCGGATCTCATAGCTTGACACAGGTTTTTTTAATTATTATTATTATTCTATAGGCAATAGAAACAGTAAGAGGTTAAGGAGAAAAAAAAACGATATATTGCAATACTCATTTTGTTTTACTTGAAAGCCAAGCAAAGTACAGTAGTTCCTAGTGTATTGTATAAAAGAAAACTATGAAATTTCACATATTTAGCAATAAACACGCGCAATGCCTTTGTTATTTTATGTGTCTCTCTGAACCAGTTGGGTATGTTTGCTTGAAAGATTCAGTGAGGGACTGTTGCTTTTTGGAGGACTTTATTACCTACTCTGGTATCCTGCCTTCAGACAGTGATATTGCTGGGTGATGGCGCTGCAGATGTGCAGTCATGGTTATACGTGTAAAACAATGCTTGCACACAGTTAATTTTTGTTCACCGTTTTTTCTTTTATTGGCATCATACTCACCGGTAAAACCGAAATGTCCTCACACCACAGATACCGGCGCTTTCTCGTACTGTTGTCTCAACCTCACTCCACCGCCGCTTGCACTGTTAAAGTGTGGAATGATGGTCAAGCGCCCCCTAACTTTAGAGCATAGTGATTGGATATTTACTCGCGTGGAGGAGTTTCCTCATTTCCGCTCATGGACTTACAGGCACACACAGTCAATTCGGGGATATATAAAACCGAGAAAATCCCAATTCACAAGCGCGTATTTAACCGTGGAGGTCGTACCATATGCTTTAATATTATATTGAGAACCCTGGCATCCCTAATAAATACAGTATATATATATGCTGTGCAATTAATCAAAAATCCGGTTTCGATTTCAGTTTTGGCTTCTAACGATTATAAAAAACCATTAATCGAGATAAATGATTATTCCATCATATACCGCCCCCTTTCCAGTTGTACACATGTGTTGCTCTGGAAAGCTCAGTTCCATGTGAAAATGACTAAAAGTATGCGCTGTAATGTACGTTTTGCAGCACAGGATGCTGCAATCATCATGCATTGATCATTCATTAATGTACGTTCGAAACATTCATATTTTTTTAAAAGCTCGAAAAAGCACATGTTCTAGTGTGTGAGTGTGTGCACTGCGCTTAGCCTCGGATAGGCTCAGAGACGAGCAGGGCACACACATCTAACGTCATCTTAATGTGAGCGCTTTAATGGTCAAATACATGCACATTTGTGTCAGAGCGTGGGGTTTAGTAATTATTCAAATTAACCCGCATTTGTGTAATAAACAAACGAGTTGAGAATCAAAAGACATGTGAAAGAGCAACCATATCAGAGCCACACAATTTTTAAAGAGACAGCGCGCAATATTCCTGCGGCCGACTGTTTTTATCATTAAAACAACAAATGGAGAAAATCACTCACTGCTCCTGACTGAAGTTTTTTTCTAACAGTGAAGATGCTTAAAGCACAGTTTAAACAACAGATTTAATAACTCATTTCTTTTATCTTTGCTATGATGACAGTACATTATATTTAACTAGATATTTTCCAAGATACTAGAAATCAGCTTAAAGTGACATTCAAAGGCTTAATTTGTAAAATTAGGCAAGTCATTGTAGCACAGAAGTTTATTCAGTAGACAATCAAAAATATATATTGCTTAAGGAGGTTAAAGATATTGAGCTATTAAAATAGATTTTAAAATATTTAAACCTGCTTTTATTCTGGCTGAAATAAAACAAATAAGTCTTTCTCCAGAAGAAAAATATTAGAGGAAAAACTGTGAAAATTTCCTCTGTTAAACATAATTTGGGAAATATTTGTATAAAAAAAAATTCACATAAGAGCGAATAATTTTGACTTCAACTGTTAATCTGATAATCGTTTTGAATAATCGTGAGTACAATTATGACTACAATTATGAATTATGAAAAAATCCTGATTATGATTTTTCCCATAATAGAGCAGCCCTAATATATATGCAAATATATTATTCACACTGTACATGAGATCATCTAAACAGCAAGATGCACCATTTTCACCCATTTTCCATGATTTGTGCTTGAGCTCTTGGCGCTGGAACTTCTGGTTCTTCTCTTTGTTGTCTTTTCTAGCATAGCACCAAACTCCCACTCATTATATCTCAGTGATGGAGAATGAGATTAGCTGCGCGCTCGATATGTTAATGATTATCTCTATTATTTAAAGAATAAAACATCAAAGCGTTGGCATGTTAGACAAACTGGGGTATTTTTTATCTGAGCATACACAATTCATTAATATCTCGAGATATGCACGGTTATTACTAGAATCCTCTTGCTTTTGCAGGTGAGCGTGAGGCAGAATGGAAAAAAGCAGTAGTTGCACTTTTATTAGAAGCATAACAAGTACTAGTGATCCTCCTACACAGAGCTCTCAGATGACGGAGGATAATGCTGTTTTCTCCTCTGAGCTAACAGTACCATTGACCCACACTGCTCTGCTGTTGCCCTCTGGATAAAACACATTCCTGTCTGTCCAAACCATGGAGATGAGTTTTATAAAGATGTTATGCACAGGGCTGACCTGGAAGTAAAAACTTTTTCATTTGTTTGTCGTCTGTGCATTAGATTTGAACCCATAACCTGAATTATTAAAAGAACATTCCACTTTTTTTAAGTCTGGCCAGATCACTTTTAGCCTAGCTTAGCATAAATCATTGAATCGGATTAGACCATTAGCATCTTTCTCAAAAAAAAAGTGCTTTGATGATTTTTTTATTTAAAGCTTGAATCTTCTGTTACATCATGTACTAAGATTGACAGGACATGAAAATCTGCTATTTTCTAAGCTGATATGGCTAGGAACTATCCTCTTATTCCAGCATAATAATCATGATTTATTTTGTCGTACCATGGCTGCAGCAGGCACAATGATATTACGATGATTCCAATCTACAGTGTGAATTAACAGTAACTGAGCTTAAAAACGTTGTTAATAAAGTCCATATTTCTAATATTCACTTTCATGATTGACCATGAAAGGGAGTATTAGAAATATGGACTTTATAAACCATTTTTTGAAGCTCAGTTACTGTTAAATTACAGTGTAGATTGATGAATGGATGGATGGATGGATGGATGGATGGATGGATAGAAAGATGGATAGTTCGGGAAACATGGGTGGATGGATGGATAGATGGTAGGGGAAACACTGAGATGGATGGATGAATGGATGATAAAATGGATGGATAGATGGATGGGTGGAATAATAGATAGAATAATAGAACATATAGATGGATGATAGGGGAAACAATGGGATGGATGGATGGATGGATGGATGGATGGATGGATGGATGGATGGTACGGGGATGGATGAATGGAACAATAGATAGAATGATATAATGATAGAATGGATGATTGATGGAATGGATGATGGAGAGATAGATGGATGGAATAATGGAATGATAGAACAGATAGATGGATGGGTGGTAGGGGAAACATTGTGATGGATGGATGGATAGATGATGGATGGATGGATGGATGGATGGATGGATGGATGGATGGATGGATGGATGGATGGTAAGTAGTAGGGGAAACACTGGGATGGATGGATGGATGGATGGATGGATGGATGGATGGATGGATGGATGGATGAACGTTTGGTCGGGAAACACTAGGATGGATGGATTGATGGATAGATGATAGAAAGAATGGAATGGATGGATGGATGGCTGGATGAAACAATAGATATAATGATAGATTTATTGAACAGATTGATGGATGTATGGAACAGATGGAAAGGATGGATGATAAAACTGATGGAATAGAGGGATGCATGGAACAATGTGATAGAAAGGGTGGATGGATGGATAGATGGATGAATGGATGGATAAATGGAAATACTAATATTAGCTATTATTAGGCATAGTTTTACCAAAAAAGAAAATAACCACACCATTTACTCAAGTGGTTCTAAACTTGTATGACTTTCTTTCTCCTGTTGAACACAAAGAAGATATTCTGAAGAATGTTGTGAAAAGAAACCAGCATTGACATCCATAGAAGGAAGAAAAATACTTTGGAAGCTAATGCCTATTTTTTTCAAAACATTTTTCATTATATTGTCCTTTGTGTTCAAGGAAGTAAAGATAAAGGGAGAGTAAATTATGACAGAATTGTCAATTTTGGGCAAACTATCCCTTTAAAAACAATATGGTATTGATATATTGTGCAACTCCACATTAAATGTACACTATTTAAGTATAACATCATTCATAATTGTTTTGAAATTTTTCAGATTTTTTTTCTCTATTGTTTTGATGTATTGTGGATATTTTTTTAAATGTGGCTTTACTAAAGATATTCCTCTTTCTCTGTATTGCAGGGCTTTATACACATATGAAGATGACAGTAATGATTTGATCCTGTCTGCATCAGGAGGTAAGAAACATCTCAACATACTTCCTATCTAAAAATAGACCATCTAATAATAACCAACCCAAATGTAGTCAAGCACAAGCAATAACCCTGTCGGCTGTGACTGATGACATTCATTTGCATTGTTGATGTACCGTGATAATGCTAGTGAATTCCGCCATGCGATTGTATCATGATGAGGGACAAATGCATTACATGTTACATTAACACAGTTGGTTTGCGCATAGACAATCAGTATTTATTTGCATCATTTCTATAATATTTATAAAAATCAATGTACTGTACTGATGCTGTAACACATATACTGTTCCTTTGACACTACACAATTGCTTTAGGCATCATGAAGTGGATTTGGCTTGCACACTACATTACAGAATACTGTGCATGCACAATAATTGATCAGTGTTAATCAAATTACTGTGATATAATGTAGTTTTTCTTAGAAATTGTACTTAATTGTACTGTAAAATTGTGTACATTTTACATGAGTACATTTTTTGGATCTAAAGCAGTGCTTTTACTCGACTGTTTTCCTTCTACCTGCGTTCACTACTTTAATAGTCTTGTCTACGGTAATTTTCTCAGTTGAATATTTAGTCCTGTAATTCCTGTCCAATCAAATCACTTATAGAAGAATTACATCAGTCAGACAGTTGACACTTTTTAAATGCAGCAAACATGTACAGTGCTAAAGCATTAAAACTGTCCAAGAAGCATACCTGCCATTCTGGGAAGACCTGTGGAATTCTGGGAGTTTTCCGGGAGACAGAACAATACAGGAGATGGGTGGGAGATGGGTCTGAAATACAGGTGACTCCCGGGAAAAACAGTAGTGTAGGCAGGTATGCCAAGAAGACGCAAAAATCATTACACACAATGAACAAGTGAAGTTTATTTATAAACTAATTTCAAGAGGATCACATGCTCATGATTGCTTGTGGCTGGTCCCGCATTATCAATTTTACGATTTGCCAACTACAGGATTCATAAGCCTCTATAAATACCCTAAGTTCCAAATAACAGCCATTTTCGTTTTGAAGAATCTCCCCGCCCTCCCAACGGCTTTCCCTGCCTCCCTTGAAGTCAAGTTAATTTTATATTTTTATAGAGCCAGATCACAACTTTTAAACTGCTAAATAGTCGTATGTAATATCTTATTTACACAATGACATGAAGGACTCGAAATTGCGACTATTTTGGTCGCATATGCACCCAAAGTTTAATCTATGCGACCTTATAATATATTTAGGAGCATTTGTGTGACTGCATATAATGGTTGTAGTAGTGCGACCTGTTGATTTTTTTTTTCTAAAAAAGTGCATCTTCCCAGCCGCTATATTGGTTCATATTAGCTGTCAATCACTCAAGGCTTTAAGCTTTCAGATAACGGAGGTTTTGTGACTGTGGGGAATGCAAATGGCTGAAGTTTGAGGAAGACACAATGAAAAGTACACAGGTTTGCAAACCCACCCAAAGTTACAAATAATGGAGCTGATGAAAATGATCAATGTTGTGAATGTTAATTCGCCAGCCAAGATCAATCGGGTGTTTTCGGAGAGAAAATAAAATTCAACATAAATTACATAAAATGATCTGTCAAATATGTGGACAGCATAAACAGACAGTTGCGAGAGGAAACCAGACACAACGATTTATAGAGTTTCCATGCTAGTCCTGCAGAAAGGACCAAATTGACAACCCCACCCCCTAAAATAGGGAAAAGTAATTATCTCTTAAGAGCAGTCACTATTTGTTGATTAGCTGATACAGCAGGGGAGTTCTCAAGATCTATCTGAGCTCAAACTCCCCTCTCGCCTTGCAAACAGGAGGAAGCCCCGGGCTCAAGGATCTTACAGTATGAGCTCAGGGCTCTCTCGCGGGACAGCCTGCCAAACAAGCTTTATAATCAATCACCAGCCATTGTGTGAACTTATGAAAAGACTGTTTAGACTGAGGATATAAAGGATTGGACGTCATGATTTTGCCAAGTACGATGCAATCCTGGATTAACATCCATGTTGTTCCTGGAACATCAATTTTATTCGAAAATGTAATCCATACATATTCTTTACCACTCAACCATAACTCCATAGTTAAATGTAAACCATAATTATTTTTAAGATTAGAGGGCAATAATTAATCATGTAGAAGTGCATAAATCCATCTGTAAGCCTAAACTTAACATAAACTGTAAATGAATCCCTTAATTGTGATTGGCTGATTGGAATGTTGCTCCAGGATTTAACATAGATGTTAATCCAGGAACAAGTCGTACTTAGTGGAATCAGGTTGGCGAAAAAGGATGTACTTTCTATAATGACTTGATAGACTATATGATGTCTTAATAGACACCTTAAACAAAAATAGCCTTAAACAGAAGCTAAATGCAATACAGAATGTTACGTTTTCAAACAAGTGCACACAAATGCATTTAATTTATCAGTGCTACACAAGCTTGGTTTGTGATGCCAACTGCTGGACACTCGTCAAGTGCATGCGGATGGTCCGGCGCAGTCGCATAGCCCTCGCAGTGGCTGACTCCGACGCTGACATGCACCTCTCAAAAAATGTAACAACATGTCGCAATGATGCATAGCGCAAGCACTGTGATTGGTCAGCTTGGTATCGGTGACCAGTGTGGGTGATGCTGAGAGCCGCGAGCCCGATGGAGCTCTAGCTGGAAACTTTTGTTTTGTGTTTAACTTATGATTAAAGTTGTTGCACATCCCCTGGTTTCAACCTCTGAATTAGTCAGTTTTAGCTACTTGTACATTAAGGGCACACTCACAGTATGCTATGCTGCACCTTCAGCAAACCTCCTAATACCTGCAGCACGAGGACTTTTATGATAATTTATGGGCGTCAAAAGTGGTGGATCTGTTCGGCAAAGTGTTTGACTGCGTGTCACCGCATCCCAAACAACTAAAAATAATACAAAATGATATAACAAAAGCAGTGTCCACTAGGGCTGGGCGATTTAGCAAAAAAAAAATCTAGGTTTTTTATAAAGTTTGACCGATTCACGATTTCAATTTTTTTTTAATTGTGTTACTAGTCTTCTCAAAACATTACAACAACATGACTGAAGTAACATTCTCTTTAAAAGTAACTTTGTATTTTTAATGGCCATGTCATACAAAAATCGGTCAAGGTGTAAATAAATGTAAAACAAATTCACAAGTTAAATAACATTGCTAAAGATTTGAATAAGAAATTTTTGTGTAAATATTGCAATTGTAGGAATACAGAGGTATTTTTTGCAAGTTTTGCTGAGCCTAAGAAAGATTGGCTGTCAGCTCGGCCTTGACTTTGTCTTCTGATTGAATGACAGGTTGTAAAGCTGCTGCCTTTTTCTTAAAAAGATACAGTGGAAGTAAAGGACTGAACATGGAAACTGTAAAGCCTAATTTAACCCAATGTGTGAAGTTGTGGACGTATAGCAGGAGCAAATACAAGTACCAGATGTGTGTCTAATATAAAATAATATATTTAATCTATTTTCCTTTTTCCCCCTTTTAAATATCGATCATTTGATGCACTTTGCTCCACTCTCTGTATTATGCTGCCTGATCTGTCTGGTTTTCAACTAGGTCCGCTAAATGACGTCATGGGGGCGGGTACTTTCATTTTCTCTGCTACAGTCCCTCACCTCTACTTGTGTTCAAACCAAAAGATCGGCGCGGTTTTTCACATGGCAGGCTTTTACATCCTTCATACAAGTTGAGATCGAGTTTATCGACTTGATGAGGGAATATGTCTTGACAATCCGCATAGACGTGCAACAAGTAAAATCCTACATGACTTCACGCTTTAACATGCAGTCAAGCAGGTCACACACCAGAAGCGACACGATACGGCGCGCACATGACAGTTTAAACTATCACACACCAAACGCTCACATTCGCATGATATTTAACATGAAACGAATTAGTTGGCGCTCTGTGGGCCGGCTGAAATATGAACTGCTTCGTGAATCGTGGCTGGGCAGCGCCTGTGTGTGTATAGAAACCTGTTTAAAATTCTAAAATCCATGGCGCTGCGTGGTGCTGCGCGGCACGTCGCCGAGAGCCGCTTTTGGTATGCTTTCTGCTTCATACAGACGGTGAACCAAAGCTCATTGGTGCCATTATAATGTATTAAATATATATATTTTTTAAAAATCGCGATTTCTCGATTTGATTCAAAATTAAATCGTCTTAAAACGTAAATTCGAATTAATCGAAAAAAATCGGAAAAATCGCCCAGCCCTAGTGTCCACTATGCTGAGTGAGAGCACTTCTGTTCCTGTTAAACTAAACAGTCGCATCATTGATGATGTTGTAAGCGTGCTCAGGTCCGGTGGGAAAAAATGCAGTGAGAGTGCAGGCCGAGAGGCAGAGGGGAGGGGAGACAATCGCGCTTTGGCACGGTTCAAGGCAACTATACCTAATGTGAGTGCGCCTTAAGGTAGTGTTCAGAAAAAACAAAACACCCGGGAAGAAACTCGACACAGAGGAACATAAAAACCCACTGCCAGCTAGTGTTTCAGAAGTGTTATTGCAGAGCAACACAAACAGCACACAGAAGTATAAATGCACAGTTACGTACTAAGCAGGGGCCGTGGGTCACACAGATCATTTGAAGCAGAAGTGTAAACCAGCCTTTAGTCAAAGTGGATTACCTAAGCATAAAACTAATCAGTACACCTAGATTTTTGTCCTATAGGTTGCACAGATTTCACTCTGCATGTATGCATGTAAACACCTTTCACGTTGTATTCATACTTTCTGTAGTTTTTGCAACAGATTATTTTATTTGCTCTACATTTTTTTGGGGCAAGTACTGATACTTTTACTTGAGTCTTAGTTTTCAGTGACAGAATATAATGTAAGTGCAATCATGGTTAGACCTAATGGTTAGAGGGTTGGACTTGTAACCCAAAAATTACAGGTTTGATTCAAAGTACCTGCAGGAGTCGTAGGTGGAGGGAGTGAATGAGCAGAGCGCTTCCACCCCCAATACCC